AGGTTTCATTTTTACCTTCAGACCACAAAAAAAAGGACTGTCTGGACTCATCTTTGATCTTATTGGGCTTCTCCAAATGAGAATCCCTTCAGAGGACACCTGCTTTGTTCCTTAACTTTTAAACTAAGTTAATATCCCTGACGTTTTTTGGCAAATACTGAAAATGAATCAGCATTACTTTAAAAAGCCCTTCCCCTCCAACTGATCTGTGTCAGTGCTCTGTAATGTAGTTATTTTTTTATTTCCACACCCATTTAACATGATGTATTATGATATGTTTCCATATACGTGTGTATTACAAATGTATTATTATCCATTTGATGCATATCTTATAACGTATCTGTCTTTTTCTCTCATTTGCTGGGGTAAATCCCAGGACATTTAAAGTGAAAACGCATGAAAACAGGATTGTTATTCACAGGGAAAAGCTGACATTTCAGAGCTGACTTTTATTGATTGCAGAAGCTGGACAGAAGAAGGAGAGCAGAGTCTGTTCCTGATTTATTGTTGTTTTTAGTTTTTTTACTCAAATCTATTTAGAAATCTGCAGAATGAATTTGCCTCATTTGCCTCTTTTATTTCCCATTTATAGGCAAAAAAGAGTGTTTTTTCCAAGTTTCTCTTTACATTTAACATTTAAACATTTTAACATTTAAACATTTAAACTCTTAACAAGTTTCTCTTAACCAGAGTTTGAGACCCCTTCAGGGACATGAAGTAGACAGTCGAGAGGAAGAAAGTCGAGGCACTTTTTCCTTATTTATTGTTGTTTTTTGTTTTTTTACTCGAATCTATTTAGAAATCTGCATAATGAATTAGCCTCATCTTTTTTTGTTTCCAATTTAGAGGCAAAAAAGAGTGTCTATTTACAAGTTTCTCTTCACATGAAGTTTTACGCATAACCAGAGTTGAGACCCCTTCAGGGACATGAAGTAGACAGTCGAGAAGAAGAAAGTCGAGGCACTTTTTCCTTATTTATTGTTGTTTTTTTACTCTAATGTATTTAGAAATTCCCACACATATTTATCTCCAGACTGAATTATCCTCAGCTTATTTTTTTTAACCAATTAAGAGGCAAAAAAAGTCTTCTGCCCTCTTCAAGTTAAGGGCAATATATGAAATAATGAATTAAATTAATTAAAAGTGTTTCTAAGAAGCTAAGCTTTTGATTTCTGTGTTACCGTGGTGACAGAAGGGGGATTGTTTTCTGGTTACAGGATGAAAATCTTCATATATTTGGTCAGCACAGCCTTGTAAAGTCCATCTTTAGGGGTGGTTAAACTTTGGTTTTCTGGACAAAATGGCTCCTTCAGGCTTTTTTCTTAAGGGTCTGTCAAACCAGACGATGGAGGACTAACGTGCCACTCAGAGGGTGTGACTCAGGTTTAGTTTTTTATTTTTACGGCCTTGTTACCCACCTCTGGAAAGCCTTTTAATTTCCCCTGAGCAGCATTCCTGCACACAAACAGCAGAGTAAGTCGGAGCTCCTCTACTCCGGACCACATTGATTATTTCTTGTAACAAAGATCCCAGTTTGAGAACCAGGACCAGAGGGTTCTGGGTTGGAGTCCCCGGGGGAACCAGGACCAGAGGGTTCTGGGTTGGAGTCCCGGGGGAACCAGGACCTTTCTGGGTGGAGTCTGCATGTTCTCCTGTGTCTGTGGGTTCTCTCCGGGTTCTCCGGCTTCCTCCCACAGTCCAAAAACCTGCATGTTAGGTTGGCTGGACTCCAAACTGCCCTTAGTGTGAGTGTGAGTGGTTGTTGGTCCTTGTGTGTCTCTGTGTGTCCCTGTGATGGACTGGGGACCGTCCAGGGTGACCCCGCCTCTCCCCATTGGCTACTGGGATAGGCTCCACCCCCTACGACCCCATTAGGGAACAAGCTGTAATGATAATGGATGGATGGATGGATATCTCCTTTTACCTTTATTGGACTAATTTACCTGTTTCTCTTTAAAATAATAAAACAGTTAAAAGAAAAAGAAGGACTCCAGTTCTCATTTCCTTCGTTTTTGACAGTCCTGATTTAGCTTTTTAAAACATGTACCCCACACATAAACTCTTTTAGAGCCGAGGCAGATGGCCGCCCACCCTGAGCCATGGTTCTGCTCCAGGTTTCTGCCTGTTAAAAGGGAAGTTTTTCCTTGCCTGTGTCGCCTAGTGCTTGCTCATGGTGGGAACTGTTGTGTTTCTGTAGTTAACTTCAGAGTAGGGTCTGACCTGTTTTGTTTTGGAAAGTTGGGAGACAACTGTTGTTGTGATGTGGCGCTATATAAATAAAATTGAATTGAATTGAATTGAATAGAGGTACTAGATTCCCAATGTTGTATTTTAGATTTAAGTTACTGAGACAAAAGCTCCACCCAGATTTGCAGAATGTGAGTGTGATGAGGAGAGAAAAGACGGTTTGGCTGCATGAACAATGAGACTTTATTCACAACTGGTTCACACCGAGAAAACTAAATATCCTCTGTTTGTGGCTGGGCGTATGTACAGTGTTATTCTGAGAGAAAGAGCAGCTCCCTCCGGGAAACAGGGTTCAACACAATCTCTGGGGTGGAAAAAATACAATAAAAGAATAGACGTTCATCTTTTAATGCTGTTTAACTCGTTTCACCTGTTTTTTGTTTTTTTTCTTCATAAAGGTGTCTGAACGAACGAGGCTTAAACTCCGTCCACATTAACTCATTGGCTGCCAAAGACGTCTATAGACGTCTTTTATGTTTTTCAGCGAGAGTGTCTGGGGGACGATCTGCTAAAGGTAGTCCGTAAATATCAGGCTTCTAGACAGAGTATGTACTAACAAATTGACCCTCTAGGGGGCAGTGCCACTTTTGATGGGAGATGAGCATAGACTGTAGGCAAATAAGAAAAAGGTAACGGTTCTATGAGAGAACATGTCGCCGGTGAGACGCAAGTCCAGGAAGAACGGAATAAGGTAGAAACATATTTTTTTTTCCTGATGAAAGAAGAGAGTCTACTCTTTCTTTTGGTGTGTTCGGTGTTTACATAGTCATAGCACAAACTATTCTGTGGCTCTTGAAAAATCAGTCAAAATGCTCAAAAAACTCTGGCAGTATGGGACTCTGTTCTGAAAATGGCTGCCAGTCAATGAGTTAAAATGGCCGTCAGACGCAGCCTTTTTTGGGTTTTTGTGATGAAAAATGCTGCTTTTTTACGTCACGTTTCTCCAGCAGAAGCGGTTTTAAGAGGGGAATCCTTGGCTTTTGCTCTCTTTAAGGTCCTGGGAGGGGTCTAATCTGACCAACTCTTAGCTTCTAGCTAAAGAAAAACACTTATAGCTAACAGGAACCTTCTTATGCTAACAGAAGATGCAGGAAGTCCGGTTTTAGCAGAGACAGAAACGCATATCGAAAGGGGTCAAAGGAACCAGAAGCTGGTTTCCTAAAGTCATCTCAAAACAAAGTTTGCTCCAAAGTTTTCTGTGTAAAACCGATCGATTGAATCAATCAATTTAACATCTGCAGGCAGCTTTTTATGTTCCTTTCATAAGTCGATCTGTGTGTTCGGTTCTTTCTCCAAATGACTTTAATTGTGTTTCGGAGACAACTGTTTTATTTTCCGATCAATAAATAGTTTGCTCATCGCTAATGAACTCCAGTAAAACTCTATTTAGTCATTTGGAACTAACGAGAAAACACTTTTTGGCATCTGTGCTCAGTCTTTGAGGTTTTCTTCATGCCGTTTCTCAGAAAAAACACTTTTGAAAGCTTGTAATTTTCTGCATAAGTGACCTAAAACTACACTAAAGTACTTTATCTAATGGGTTCGTGATTAAGATTTTCCTCCTGTGTGTTAGAATTTCCTGGAAAATAGACTTATTGTGAAATTTGCAGAATTTAACACTGTTTCCTCTCTTATTCCACCAATTTCACTTTTTCTTTGCTATTAAAATTGCATCTAAAATACAATTAAATCAAAGGAATATTTTTTAGATGTGCCAAATTACAACAAAATAATGATTTTAAGATGCCTTTTGGAAAACCAGCTAAAATATTGTATCAACACACATGTACAAATCATCTATTAATGCTACATACCACGGCCACAACTCAGAAGCAAAACCAAAAACTCTATTTTTAAACAATTATTAGTCAGGAACGCTTCATTTTTATCGGCCTTATCGGTTAGTTCTGTGCTTGAAACGCATTTATAATGAACTTTTGGCTGGATTATTGACGTTTTAAGGCTGTATGTTTGTCAGAGGTATGTTTACCGGGTGAGAGAACGTCTGAAATGAAAAAAGGCCGGTTCAAAACGAAGCGTTACTCACTGTGGTGGTTTTTTTTTATTGTGGCTTTTACTAGTCTCTGCACTGTACTTTCTATTAAGGCAAACATGAGTGCAACTCCACTTACAGAGAGAGAACAATTTCAGGTTAAATAAACACACGGAGAAATCATACACATGCTGTTTCACTAGATTTCCACAGGTGGAGGAAAAAAAAAAAAGAAAAAAAGCCTGTTCTACTTCAGATTCGATCACTTAAGAAAAGAGAAGAACCACTTATGTTTTAATGTCGACTTTAGAGTTGTGAATCGTCCGAAAACTGAAGGGTTAGCATTTAAAAACGAGCGGGAGAACGATGCTAAACGTCAGATGCTAACACAGTTTGTAGCTAACGACATGATCAAGTTCACAGACGAGCTCGAAAGTCTAAATTTGCAGGATTCCCTTCCAGTCCCGGTAGAACTCGCTCTGATCTTTCGTTTCTTTGGGGGAAATGAACATTTTCAAAACACGTGGGTGACGGGATTACAGCAGAAAGAAGAAGAAGGGATGACCACAACATGGAAATGTACAGTTCTGGTTCAACTGTCAAATAAGTCGGGAAGAGGAGGGAAAGGAGGAGAAACCAGGAGGAAAACGCCAAAGGAAAGACGGGAAAAAGGGGAAAGAGGTGGAGAAAAAGGTTGAACAGAGGAGGATAAAGAGAGGAATGTGGGGGGGGGGGCAGGATCCCGATGTGGCGTTGCCTCCTATTGGGGGAGGACCTTCAGGATGGCGTTCACTTCCTCGGCAACGGTCGTCAACGCAAACTCAAACTGGTCCTGCAGGAGGGAAAAGAGAGAAAGCGTTTTTTCCCAGTGCACCTGAACGCATCACAGCCTCATAAACCAGGTTTTTAGGAGCCTTATTTTAGTGAAAATATTTTTTATTTAAAAAATATGCAAATTCATAAGAAATAGAAATGTTGTTTGTGATTTAAAAGGGTTGAAAAATGCTATTTACATATGTACAGTTCATTGATATTGTGTAAAATATTACTTTTATTGTGACATTTAACCCTTTAAAGCCTGATCCAAGAATCAAACAAAACAGAAAATTACTTTTTTTTGGTTTGAAGTCTTTATTTGGCCTTTTAACAAAATATGTAAAAAGAAAAAAAAAGAAATACATTTTTCATATTAATAATTTATTACTATGCGATAAGTCTTAAGATTATTTTTGTGTAGTCTTATCAGGTGTATCTGATTGTGTACAATAGGATTTTGAGTATTTTTTTTTTACCATTAAATTATGCAAAAGGTGTCAGACGCAAAACCTTTCAGAAACTGTATGAATCAAATATGGTACATTAGGCATTATAGGGTTAAAAAACCCACCATCAGGTGACTTATCTTAATGCTAAAATGCCATATGTATTATATTTGATACGTACAATTTCAGAGAAATTTTGCATCTAAGACCTTTTGCATCATTTAATGGTAAAAATTTTGTTGTACACAACTAATAACTAGCTAATAACAGCAGGCAGAAGACTATTCACAATCATTTTGACTTAGCGGAAGGTAATAAATGACGAATATGATTCCTGTTTTTCTCATATATTTTGTGAAGGCTCAAATAAAGACTTCAGACAATAAAAAAAATTCTCCCTATTTTTTTTCTTGGATTGGGCTTTAAAGGGGTTAATGCCAGGGGAATCAGAAGGAGATTGGAGCCCAATAGTCTGTTTACCTCGCCTTTCCCAGGCTCCGTTGGACTTTGAAAGACTTAATTTACTGGATATGTTTTATGTTCAAGCTAACGCTTTAACATAAAGAACATAAAGAAACTACAACAGTAAGAAACTACAACAGTGGACCATTAAGCAGCCCATTAGGGATCATTCTCATTTAAAAAAACAACTAGAAAAATAGTTTTTCTGCATAGCAGAAATGTCAAAAAGCGTTTTGTGGTCCCGCCGCGCAGCCCCCCCCCCCCCCCGACCACGAGGGGAATCAGCCCAGAAACACGTCTTAATAAAAGAGGGATCGATACGGCAGATGTTTTACACACATCCTGGGTTTTTCCATCCCTAATGTCCCCCAAACCTGCCCGAGGCCTTCTGCCACTTCAGGAATAAATATAAATAAATAAATAAATAAAAATGGAGGTCTTGTTTTGGTAAAAGCATTCTGTGTCCATGGCAAAGTGGAGGTGATGTTTTACAGGTTAAAGCTTCCTCTAATTGGTGTAAAATGTGGGACGGTTTGCTTAAAATCTGCCTCACGGACACTTTTGTTCTGATTTATTCTCAGTTCTGAGTTTATTGTGGGAGAAATAGATGTTTTTTTCAATGACCAATCACAAGCGACGGGCGTTTCTAAAGGGGCAGGAAACAGCTGGCCGGACAGTGTTCAGCCCTCCAAATCTTTATTCCTATTTATTCCTTTATTACAGAACTCCAAAAGGATGTAATTCGGACACCAAATTAAGAAACACGACTTCACAAACGACTTCTGTTTGCTAAAATTAGCTTAAAATACCTTCTCACATGGCAGCGTATTTTGTAAATCTCCTTGTATCTAAATCTAGCTAATGCTAGCAAACGTGTTTAGCCAGGAAACACGTTTGCTAGCTCATTTTAGCTAATGCTTACATGTGCCCACCCCTCCCCTCCAAAACTCTTCCAAAAAAAAAAAAAAAATCCTGGCTAAACACGTTTGCTAGCATTGGCTAGGTTTAGATACACTTTAGCTAATGCATAGATGTGCACCCCCCCCCCCCAAAAAAAAATAAAAAATAAAAATCCTGGCTAAATACCTTTGCTAGCATTAGCTAGCTTAGATACAAGGAGATTTCCAAAAGATGCTGCCATGTGAGAAGGTATTTTAAGCTAATTTTGGCTAATGCTTCCATGTCCACCCCCCCAAACAAAACCAAAAACAAGTCTTGGCTAAACACGTTTGCTAGCATTAGCTAGCTTTAGATACAGGAAGATTTCCAAAAGTCGCCGCCTTGTGAGAAGGTATTTTCAGCTCATTTTAGTAAACTGAAGTCGAATAAAGGAATAAATAGGAATATTTACCTTGGTCTGGACCATCCCCGGCCTCTGGTCCCGCAGGTGCTCCAGCGTTGCAGCGATATCGATTTCCTTGGCGCCTGACGAGAACAAAAAGACAAGAAGAAGAAGGCACCCATGAGCTGAAGGCGGCCATTTTGATTACGTCACCAGGCAAGAAAATCGTACACATGCAAAAGCAAAAAGATTGCATGGATTCATACATGGAAGTGATCCTGAGTCCCCATTCAAACCTCTGTGAGTTCTTCTATAGCCTGGTCTAAAAAAAAAACCAACAACACTAATATATGTCATTTTAACCCGTTTTAGCTAATGCGAAAGCTAAATGGTGCACGCCAATGTGGAGAAAATAGCTAGTACAGCGACATCTCCTCATACTCAAAATGTTGAGTGAAATCCTTTTTTTAAAATTTGGAAGACATGCAGTGGACTTGATATCGAATGTTTCTGTTCAGAGATATTTAGCAAAACTCACCATAACAAATCACTGGATGTAAATCAAGACGCCTGCTGGTAAAGGAGAAGTTTTTATAGCCAAAAAGTCTCAATTCGGGTTTAAAAGTGACGGTTCTCAGCTGTTGGTGCCTCGTCCGAGACCCTTTTTTTAATTAGGGTTAAATAGTCATAGAGTTTAGAGAAAAACTACATCTTTAAATCTCATAAGACTCAGGAAAATATTCAAAACCTGAAAGGGAAACATCCCAGGATGGACAAACTGATAATGGATAATGAACAAATTGTGTTGGATAGAGAGGCTAAGAAAAGCTTTTAAAGCATTACTGAAATCTGACACAGAAATAAAGGTAATTAAACTAACGACTGGAGGGTCAAACGCTTTTGAAAGGCTGAAACAAAAAGGTGTGAGCAGATTAGTTGGTTTTCATTTTATTTATTTTATTTTATTTATCTTATTTATTTTGTTTATTTTATTCATCTTATTTATTTTATTTATCTTATTTATTTTGATTATCTTATTTATCTTATTTATTTTATTTATCTTATTTATTTTATTTATCTTATTTATTTTTTTAATTTTATTTATCTTATTGATTTTATTTATTTCATTTTATTTATTTTATTTTATTCATTAATTTATTTATCTAACGAACAGCCTGAAGGCTGCAGGTACGTCTGAACGGAAAGACGGGAAAAGACAAAAGATGATTCATTAAGACAGCAGCAGGAAGAAAGACGGGGGGGGGGGGGCCACAAAGAAAAGTAAAAGAAAAGGGGCGAGAAAGAAAATTAAATCCACAAAGGGGAAAAAAAAACATTTAATTTGTTTTCCGTCTTTCTCCCCCACCTTTTTCTTCCACTGTCAAATTAAAAAAAGACAAAAAAGCTCCATAATGCCCCCCCCCAGCCCCGCTAAACCCCCTAAACCCCCCCCGAATGTTCGTAGAATGGCTCCTTCCCACCAATTTCTCTTTCGATTCGCCGTTTTTGTGAAGTTTTTTCCCCTTTTCCCAACACAATGGGCTCCATTTTAGCCAGCAAACTGCACCGGTTTAGTAGTTTCTTTTTTTTTTACCTCAATGGTGGAAGTGGGGAGGGGGGGGGCAAGGGGGGGGTGTTCGACAAATAATAAAAAGGGCTATTGTGTAGTTTGAGATAAACCTCAAAATGGAGGCAATGAAAAAAAGGTGCAAGGGTGTAAAAACTCTGTGTTTTCTGTTTATTTATTTATTTGTGTTGTACTTGCAGCTCTCTCTTTTTTAATTGTCTATATACTTTTTTTTATTGATTTTTTTTTAATTATTCACATGTTCTTGTACGGTAAGAAGGCAGGATGTGGGTTATTACTGATTTGTAACATAATCTTGTAGGATTGGGGGGGGCTGGGTAAGGGAAGGGAATGAGGGGTTGTTGTTTTTGTAAAAATGAAAAAAAAAATCCTTATTTTCATTATTTTCATTGTTTGTACTTGACCTTGTCACGTGAATAAAAACATGAATAAAAAAATAAATAAAGCCGGAGGGGGGGCAGAAAGGAGCCTTTCGGAAGAGAAGAA